TTATCCAATAATATAATAATTCTAAACCAAAGATAAACAAATCAGCCAATCAGAGCTGTAGCTACTGCTAAAGATACTGAGATTGTGAAATTACTTGAGAATCCATCTTGCCAGGCTTCGAGCTATGTACTTGTGTCCTAACCACAGTGGTTCAGACCAATCAGCCTCCTATGAGTGCCTACTGGCAGCCGCAGTCGTGGTTTAATCCTAGATGTGATGCAGAGAGAAGCGAGTGTCTGAAAAGACCAATGGCGGCTTGGCTTCTAAAGACGTTAGCTATGCTGCGATAGCATCAGTTACATCAGAACTGGAGGGTATTTCTTTACTGAAAGAAGAGCAAAGAACGGCACTGAAGGCTTTTCTTGATGGAGAAGATGTTTCTGCTCTTCTTCCAACGGGCTTCAGTATGACAACGTTATATGGTTCATTGATCTGATTGGTTGAAGTTTGCTCGTGATAGATGGTGGTAGACAGATGATTCATCCAATCACCTGCCAAGGATTTTTTGAAAGTGCCTCCCTTTTTCTAAACAGTTAAACAAAGACAATTCCAAGATGGTTCTGTGTAAGAAACCATCTTCCACGTCAGGTTATCATCAGTTTACATTTTATAACTGGTTAAATATTTGGAGTTTTAAGGGTCTTTTAAATTGCAATTTCTAAGCCAAGAAACAATAGAAACAATAGTCTTGCCACACTAGCCTGATGTTTAGAAGGTACAATGTTAACCATATTCACCATCTTACTTCAGTGACCGACAGATACAGTTACATCCCTAAGACCCTGCAACTAGCATGGCTAAAAATCTTTTTTTGTAAGCACGAACCAGGTTCTAGCTCATGAAACCTTTTTAATTTTCTCTAATAATCACATCAGCTACGTCTTAAGAACAAATCCTCACCTGCACAGGAGGGCATGACACATTTTACTTGTTAATCAGTAGCGACAGCAGTTAATTTCGAATAAGCAGAAGATAAACACAGCTGAACTGACAATGATAAGAGAACCACCTACAGAATCTCAAACTTCATCAAGGACACAGACGCCAAGAGGATCATTCACATAATTTGACTGATCTCTAAAGAGTGCGGGGCAGAAACACCACAGCAATTATTACTGAGCACTAAAGATAGAGACGTACTTCATGAAGAAAAATAGTAAAAAAGCAGCGGTGGCGAGAAAAGTGATCATGTGGCCAAGAGAAGTTCAACACTCACAATAGATTTGTCTCTCAGCAGCGACTGTCTTTGAACAAGATGTTGCAGCTACCACCTGCTTAGTTTTTACCAGCAGCACCGATAACCTTGAAATATAAAAATGTGGAATTTACACTGTGCAAATGTTTCTTCTGTGTTACAATTTGACCCCCTTGAATTTAATGGCTCTGGAGTATATTGAAGGAGGTCAGTGCGAGACAAAGAATGGGCTTCCGGGAGGTCTGCTTTTTTTTTTTTTTGACCAGTGGTTCTCAAACTTCAATGTACACCCTTTCAAATATACTTTCAGCCAAGTGCCCCCTGACCAGCACAAAACATTTTTGGTATTAAAAAAATGCCTTTATAAAGATCTAAATACAACATATTCTTCCTGGTACTTACTGCATTTTTTGCTTGGTTTTTATTTTATTATTCACTTCTTTCTCCTGGTGGTTCTTCTTCTTCTAAGAGGCTTTACAGCAATTGATGATGGCATTGAAAATAGGAATATTGAACATAAATTAACATTTTAAAAAGAGAGTCACCTGTAGTTGTCCAGTGTAGTCATATATGGTACGTGCACCCCCATTTGGTGTAGACTATGGTCTTCTTATAATAAAAAAAATCATTTTGTTGCATTAAGACTGTTGTTGGAACCACTTTATATATATTATGCAACACTGAAGATTTAAAGCATACCTGCCCCTCTTTCTCGAGTTTCTCCCGTAATTTAAGGCCATCTCCCGGGGCCCTCCCGTTTTGTTGTTTCTCCCACTTTATTATGAATTATCATCATACGTGGAGTGTCTGACGTCACTCACGTTGCCTGATCTTCTATGAAACACAATCTGCACACTAAATACAATTCCACCCATCTGTCACTGTAACCTGACAACCTACAATCCAATTGAAGGGTTATGTACTTATTATTGTTTTATTTTATGTTATATCTTTGTATTTTTTTGTTATATCTTCTTATATCATCTTGGTCCTGCTACACACGTACGTGTATGTACGTCCTGACAAATTCCAGCTACTGGCCTTATGAGGTCACTTCCATTAAAGGTCAAAATTTTAAACTCAAATGCAACATTTTGGCCACAGCTCTGTAATGCAAATGTATGGGTTGTTTTTTTATCCTGACCCATCTCAGGGCAATCATCCACCCCTAGCTGTCTCTTCCTGTTCAAAAAGGGTCTATGTTCGTAATAGCACATAATCATAATTCATTATTGTATGTCATTTGAAAAACTTACAGCAATGGACATATGAAAGTATCTTCTCTATGAATTGTTGGAAATGAACTTCAATAAACTACATAAGCCAACTGCTTTCACAGCACAGCACATATGATATATATGATAGAAATGAGTTTTACAGTACATAAAAATAAATAATTTGTTTCAACATACAACTGTGGAAATGGAAGGTTTTTCTAGTAGCTGATTTCAAGGTCTCTTACAAGGTTTGGTGAACAGAAATGTTCTCATCTGCAATGACGTGTTACAAAGGTTCATGATTATAAGTAGATCAGCTACAGCTACAGAGTGTCCTCCTGCTATCCTGTACGTAGATTATATAAATAGATTATTTAGAACAATGGTTCCCAACATAGGGGTCGCAAAACAAATCTCAGGGATCAAGAGATGATTAACAGGATAGAACAGCAGAGAAAAAATTATTCTGCTGTGCCAAGTATGCTTATTTTTTTAAGACTTTCCTCTAATCTTTGCTTGTCAGCCACATGGCTCTATGGATGGTGGTCGGTCGTACTGTCTGACTGTCAAATATGGCATGGATTTCCATTTTGTGTACACATTAATTATTCCCAAACGATGAACCCTAATTTTGTGTGTGTGAAAAGTCTCAAAAGAAACTCATTTTGGTACAGACATTCATGTCACCCTCAGGATTAATTGCAATAACTTTGGTGATGCCCTGACTTTTTCTTTTAGCGCCACCATCAGGTCAAAGTTTGTTGGTTTATTGCTAAATTGCTGCAAAACTATTGACATCAGCCTCAGCTGTACTTGAAGTTTAGTGCTAATTACCATGCTAACACACTAAGCTAGGATGGTGACCGCAGTAAACCTATACATGCTAAACATCTGCACGTTAGCATCCTCAATGTGAGCATGCTTGCATTAGTATGAAGCTCAAATCACAGCTGTGCCTCAATACAACCTCACATAGCTGCTAGCGTGGCTGTCAGCTCTTTAGTCTTGTTTTCCTGTGAATTACTGAATAATTTTACTACTGAAAGATGTTAATTTGTTCTTTGATTGAACTGGTCACAGCTGGCAGACACACGCATGAGGTGATGAGGGGGAACAAGCAGATATTTCTATTTCTGAGAAATCACGAGACAGAAATGTTGTGAAACAGATGTAGAAAATTGGGTTCGTGTTGACCGCTCTCCAAGGTGCTGATCCTGGAACAGCAAGGACTGCAGGAGCTGTCCAAGGTACTTCGTCAATAATGGGCAGGATTCCTGCTGATAACAATGACAAGATAAATGGTGGCAAACAGGATTTCCTGTTCCAAACATCTGTCTGTTATTTTATTTTATTTATTATTATTATTATTATTATTATTATTATTATTATTATTATTACTACTATCTTCAAGCAATCTAGTACCTGATATTTAATGCACAATAAAAATAGGAATTAACAAGATTTTACAAATAAATAAACCATTTGTAAATGATAAAACCAAAAAGAAAAAGGAGCAGGTAAACTGAAAAGCAAATAAAAAAGAGAATTACCTTTCCCAATTTCATATCAACTATGGTCGCAAAAGTTTATTTATATATATTAATAATTTGTCAATTATTTTGAAAATGCTCCTTTTTAATTGCCCATTTCAATGATAATGAAATATCTAATTATTTATTGTTTATTAATTTCCATATAATCTTATTATAATGCTTTATAACCATTTACATGTACACGACACCTGTGGTCCTCTCTGTGCTCATACTGTTTCACACTGTGGTGCTGCCGCCATTTTTCCCCTCATTATCAGTATCATGCTGTGCACTCTGTTTAATTTATTCAAGGTCTAAGGCTCCTTGTAGTATTTTGCATTGCTGAAAGGCAGGGGGCCCTTTGGGAGTATGGGACCACCTGCCCTGGGGGGGCTGCAGGTCTACGCTTTATGACCAACTTCTGACCTCACTAGTCTGGTTTCGACACAACCTCGAGTGAAGATGCCTCTCAGCTGTGTGTTCTGTGTTTGAAAATGATCAAAGCTTTTTTTAAACTTTGATAGGTCATACACCACTAGTCAGATGAAAGGATTATGCATGTTGTTATTGATTGGCCCAAGGGGTTACTGCATCACTCACAGGGGACGACATGTATACTGCTGTTGGCTTGTTGTGGCAAACTGTTCAACAACCCAATAAAGTGTTTCTTCTCTCAGCCTTTTAACCTTTTTATATATAAACTGAAGAGTGGATTTTACAGCCTGTTTAACTATTAATATACACAATAGTAAATGGATCTATAAAAGTAAGTCAGACATATGGCTACACACCTGGAATTGTGTCACATTTACAGTTCATTTAAATTCAAATTTCTGATCCCTAGCTGAGATCTGTATCCAGAGCAACCTACAATAAGAACAGCTGTTAGAATTATTTTAATTCTCAGACTTCATTACAAGCACACAAGAGCAAAGCGTACAAAGGTCAGAGAAAACAGGGTCATGGAAAAGCTTTACCTGTTTTTATTTTAATGCAAATGCTTTCTTTAATGCAAATGAATATTACAATAAAAGAGTTTGTCTTGTGTGTTTCCAGGATCCAGTCCGGCTCCTACCTCAGCACCGGCTGGTTCACGCTCATCCTGGCCATGGACATGTGCAAAGAGATCCATATCTACGGCATGATAAATGACACCTACTGCAAGTAAGACACCAAGTATCAACCCCTCCTCCACCCTGGGATGAAAAATGCACACAGTCCTACAAAAACTTTGAAAACTAGATTCACATTCATAGCAGTGCTGGCCAATCGCAGCCTCCCATAACTGTGGACTGCCCTGTTGGAATTCATTTCCAATGGCTCAGTTTGGATTTAATGGCTGAATTTCTATGCTGAAATCCATATTGGGTTCTCTGTGCCGTGAATACCATTATGTATCCCTGCCTAGAATACCCAGCAGGCTGCAGAGTCTCCCGTTGCGGCGGGTGGCTAGGCTGTAGCACCCAATTCCTCCCCTGCTTAAAGTTTTATTTGTATGTCGTCCTCTTACTGACTCTTGGGTGAGTGATTACTGTCTGGCTGCGAGGCCATAGGAGGGATGACAAACAAGATGCTGTTGCTCTGGGCATGGCTGCTCAGTCTCAGCCGTGTCAGCCTCTTCTCTTCCTTACGTCTCAGTTCAACCTGAGCTCTCTCTATCCCCCAAATCAAACACTTTTACCTAATGCGCGATGAAAATCCTGCCTTTTATCCTCTCCGTGTTCCCCGTGCACAGCGGGAGTTGGAATATAAACAGCCCCAGACACATGACAGAGAGAAGTGATAATTCAGCCAGCACGGAGGATTTTATGATTCAGTGAGGCAGTTAAGGGGTTGCTCTCTCCCTGCCTGTCTCTCACTTATTTTCTTCCTTCCTGCATGAGGCAGGAGGATATTGTGTTTCACTGACTTTCTGAATGGACAATTTAGTGTCACACAAAATACTGTTGGCACCCGACTGCTCCGGTACAACAACAAGAAGTTATGTTTTGTGTGACAATGTTTGAAGCTTTAGTAAGTAAGAATTGACCCCACCAGTTGTGTGGTAATGGAGCTTCAACAGGTGCTGTAGAGAGAATGAAATTGAATGTATGTGTTAACTCTGGAGCGCACCACTGTGTGACACAGAGAGAAAAAAGGCAGTGATTGGGCTGTGTATTACTGTAAGCTGGCAGACCGCCATACTCGCTTTTTCGCTGTGGACCCACTGGCTGCCTGTTTCTCTTCTGTCTGTGTTCAACCTCCCAATGAAACTGTTACACAAGTCATCCTCTCATAAAGCAGTCTCTCACTATTAGAAACCAATTTCAGATTGCACAATTAATCTATTGTACTGCTCCGTCGTTACTACAGTTTTTATTGATTCCTCATTCCTTTTAATGATATGAAGACACAAACTGTAAACAGGGTGACTCATCATGAAATTTCAGGTCATAATGGCTTAATTTTCCTCATGTACAATATTCAGTTTTTTGGGATATTTTCAGATTTACTTTGGCTCAGAGTTGCAATGAATCTTGTTATGAAGTTTGTTACAGATAAATGCAGTTTAGTTAAAAGAGTATTTATTGAATACATTTGCCAAGAGCAGCTCCTGTTTTTTCATAGGAGAGAAACCTGCTGAGTGGAGAATTTAGCTCGGGGCAGCATCATTTCAAAATGCTGAACACCATCCTAAAGGATATTTAGTTTCATAGTTTAATAATTTACTTGCTATTTATTTCAGATAATAGTTTTAAAGCTAAGCCAATACAAACCAAGGACACTTGTAATTTACTGACTGGAATTTGTCCCAAACCTTAAAAAAATTGCAGTGGTTCTAAATTTTGTCTCATGTAGAATCACTGATATTGCACAGTAAAAGTAATAAGGACATACTGGACGTGTTTAGAACGACAAATATCTATGTAACACAACATATGTAATCATACAAGAAATACTGTATTACTTAAATTGAGCTGGGTGATATGGTTAAATTCCTTATCACATATTAATATTAAAACATGACAAGAATCATATTAAAGAGTGAAATGTTCAAAGGAATTAATTGTTTTCTCCTGTTTACATTAGAGGCCACGTCCTTCAAATGTGTAAAACAAAAACTTTAGAATCAAGTTTAGAATCAAGTCCATAACATGAAATTTTACTTTTAACCTTAATTGTGACAATGTTCTTATTAAATCTGTTCCTATTCTGATTAAATGTGTTCACTCAACCAATCACTAGCTCAGCTGAATCAGAAAGATCCTGTTACATCATCTCATTATCAATTTACTTTCTCCAGGACAGTTTAAAGAGTCACCTCACTCATTAAATACATGCCTTTTTGATGATAATATCATATTTTAAGACAAATTATTAATTTCTAATAATTAGCAGAGGCATTATTTATTTCAGGTGAGGCAGAGAGGCTCCACTATAAAACACTACAGGAAACCCACCAAAAGGTACCTGTTTCTGGTCTTCAAAAGTCCAGTGTGTAAAATTTAGGAGCATTTATTGGCAATATTCATAGGTATGTTTTTATTAGTATACGATCAGCTGAAAATAAGAATTGTGTTTTAGTTATCTTAGAATAAGCCGGGCCTCTTCTCTGGAGGCAGCCATGTTGAATCATCATGTGTCTACAGTAAACAAATTTCCCCCCGGGGATCAATAAAGTATTCTGAGTAAGTCTGATTCTAACTGATAGCCCAGAATGGACAAACCAAACACTGGCTCTAGATAGGGGTCTTTCTTGTTTTTTGTGGCCACCATAGTTTCTCCTACACACTTGGAAGGGGGAGCAGTAGTCAGTTTGTTGCAATCTGCAGCCTGACCACTAGATGCCACTAAATCCTATAAATTGGTGCTTTAATAAACAGAAAAGAGAAAATAAACCTCTCTCTTTCTTCCCTCTCCCCTTTAGGACAGAGGGTTACAAAAAGGTTCCCTACCACTACTACGAGGCAGGCAGTCGGGACGAGTGTGCAGAGTACATGCTCCACGAGAGCGCCCCCTACGGCGGGCACCGTTTCATCACGGAGAAGTCTGTGTTCGCCAAGTGGGCCAAAACTCATGCCATCAAGTTCTTCAACCCACCTTGGCAGCTGTCGTGACCCTGGCTGAACCCACGCGGAAATACGACACCATCGTCATTATCATCGTCATCACTATCTGGGAACCGGCTGAATCTCAACACTGACAGAAAGCGTGTTCCTTAACATACACAAACATCAATTTTAGCACAAATTACACAGCATATCCATTAGAAAAAGGTTGGTTGAGGGTTGGCTAAAATCCAGGAAGTGCTTGTTTTTTTGTTGTTTTCTGACAATGGCCGCTCAATCAGACAGACTTATAATTAAGGTTTGACCAACCCGTACTGCAAAAACATATCTCTTGAAAATTAAGTCTTTTTCACCTGAATTAAAGAGCTGAAGAAAGTGCACCGCACTCCACTCTTCATTGACTAATTGATCCATTTGCTGCTCTGTGAGTATAGCAAAGGATGCCTCCATGACTGTAAAAAAAAAAAAGAGAAAACAACATGAATAAGAAACAACCATCTGCCAACTTGCAGTGACCTTAGCGGCTCACGTGTCAGCAGCGCTGTACATCGCAGAGGCTGCATTTCAATTTTTTTTAGGCCTGTAGTTGAAGGAGAGCTCAGCTGCTGCAGAGACGAGTCACGTTGCCATGGACATCTGATGAGCTCGCCTACTCTGCTTCCTCTGGGTGTCTGTCTTCTTCTGTCAGGCTGTAATTAATCTATAACAAGTATAATTCAAGCCTTCATCTCGGACTGACGGAGCATTGAAGGCAGCTTTCAATTTACTCTGCTCCGTCTTAGGAAGCTTCAACAAACAAGGTCTTTTGAAACAGAAAATGCAAGCAAACAAAAACCAGTTTTCAGTCAAACCAGATGTGTAGATGTGAATCAGTTTTCTTTTTTTTATTGTTATGCTTGGTTGTGTCACACAACTTAAAGATGTCAGCTTTTTTTCTTTTCTAATGCTGTGAAAATGAATGAGACATATTTTGGCGTTGACTTGATGTCCGGTTGGCTTGAAGTCCGGATGGGTTGCTAATTTATTCTCCAGAGATAAGTTTCTAACGCTCTTTAACAGTGTGCCATTGACAATGTGAGCATCACAGCACATAGAGCAATGTGCAATTAGAAACTCCATCCTTACGGAAGGAGTTAAATCATTTGTGACCCTGCAGAGGGAGAGATTTATGTGTGCAGTGAAACCATTTGAAGTTAATTGTATTCTATTATCATTTTGTGCCTGCAATATACTCTGCAGTTCATTGTATGGAGACAGAGGAAGATTCTCTCTCGCTCATATTCTCATCCAGCTTTGTGCCTCTTTGTGTACAGTATCACTGTGTGAACACATCTTCCCATTTGTCTTTGAACGCAGCGTGCGTGTCTCCTGGTTAGGCCCATTACATTTGAATGCACCTGTTCCAGGACAGTGAAGAATAATCAGTGAAGTGCTGAGGTGTGTAGGTTGGCTGGTAGCTGTGGAGCCTGAGACACTCTGGCTGTGACCATGACTCCCCCCCTCTCGAGGCTGTGATTAGTGTCCCGGTCAGAGCTGTGGCCCAGGGGGAAGGACTGGAAGGATTCAAAGACTTCTAATTTAGGCGACTTGATGCACAGGGTCCCTGACGATTGTAATATACTGCAGCTGAGCTTCACAATCTAGCTCCTACTGCACAGTACTGTTTATTATCACACTCCATTTTGAGCTGTTTCACAGAAGGCATCGATTTGGTGATTTACAGGTCAAAAGACATGTTCCTTAAAACTGGCAGGTTCTTGGATGTCTTGGAGTAGCTACTGTGTCATTGAGGAATTTGAGGTTAGCAACTTGGGAGTTTGAATTGTATAGTGTGGTTAAGATTTTACAAGCCAATTACAACAGTTTTTGACTGGAAATGTTTGAATTTGACTATTTTCTAAAGATATTTTGGCAGCTTTTTATGCCTTTATTTTTGATAAGACAGCTAAGGGTTGACAGGATGGGGAGAGAGAGAGGGAGGACAACATGCAGCAAAGGGCCACAGGTTGGAATCGAACTCAACCCGCTGCAGTAAGGACTGCATGGGGCGTGCACTCCAACAGGTGAGCTACAGTGCAGCCTAGATTTGACTACTTTCAGGTCAATAAATTAATATTTTATGGGGCCCTCACTTCTGTACAGGCAACTTCTGTATGTAAACAATATGCGTTGAGGTGTCTCTGGGATTTATGCATTATTTACGTAATATACGCAATTGCCGTATCTAGCAACTATATACAATATAAATCGTACGGGCTCCGTAATGTGAGGAATTAACAACTAATATATAAATAAATGTTGAAAAGACCTGGTGCACAGCAGTGCTTCTCTTCTGGGTGCCAGCTGATGCACAGCAAACCAAAGTTAACCAGATAACAAAAACATATTCCAGCACACACCAGGATACTAAGATTGTCTTTATGACATTAAAAACTAAACAAAAAGGAGCCAACTCTGTTTCCCATGTTGCTTTATTAGATTCGCTCTGTGCTTAATTGCCATCAGGTGTGCCTTTAAATAATCATGTGCTGATTAGCAGGAAATCCAACAGGTTCGGGCCTTAATTTGTTGTCTGTCTGTGAAAAACAAATATGATATGAAATAATGATATAAAAATGTACAGAAACAGCTGCCTTTTTAGTAATGGGAATATTTCCAGAATATTGTGTTTTCTTGTAGTACTTGAAGGCTGAAGTGGCCCTCCTTTGAAATAACAATACCAGCCCAGCAGTGGCCCCAAGTCGATTTGTGGTTAGCTGCAAGAACCATTAAGTATAGGTTTGCTGTACTATAAGTGTGCCTGATTGATTAGTTATTATAATAAGTGCTAAAAGAGCTATAGATAAAATTAGAGCTCCTGTGCTTGCATGTTTACTACTCCATCTCCATGAACAACTCCCCTGATGAAGATAGTGTGAAATGGTTGAAAACGTCCAGAAAAAGTAAATATCTGGAGGAATGTTTTTAGCTTTATTACAGTTTTAACCAAGACGTCTATTTTGACCTGCAAATAACCAAAATCCTGCACTCTGGGTTCTTGTGTGTCAGCTGTTTGTTTGGAAACATGTTTGGCTTCTTTTGCTTGAGGAACAGGAAAATCTGATCTCTTTCTATGTTTTCCAGCCAAAGCAAGGTTTGCTCAGCACTTACTAAAGCCTGTCCCACACCTCGAAACTCATTGTAAGTCAACCTTGCTGACAGGAGCGTCATCAAAATGTAAAAACGGCCTATTTTAAATTCCTCCCAGTGTAGCTCATCGGATAGGAGGCGGCCATAACACAGCCAGGGTCATGGCTCAGATTTCCTCTGGGACAACATGTGCTTGAGAGGTACGCTGCAGACCAGCACTGCGAGTAGCTGTGGATCAAAGTGTCCACCACACGATATATGTGAAGCAGAAACATCTTTCGGTACTATTTTCCTGTTCAGAAAGCCTGTAGATAAGATCTGGGCCTCAGGAAAGAGTTAGAAATTATACTTTCTTTCTGTTCCTGTGGGCAAACAGCCCTTGATACTGAAGCGTTAATTCAAACAGTATGCCATGCATGTTACATGATTAACGTAAATTTTTCATACATCGCCATTCAGCCTGTGATTGTGCAGTCATCTGGCAGCTCTGACCAATCAGATTTACCTCTGCTGTACAGTATATCCACCATAAATTGTAAAGCGCTTCACACCAAGATAGGATATTAGGTTTTTGCTGGGAGACATGTTTTAGGTGTGTTATGGTGCATTATTTTAAGATTAGTTTTTAAGTTGTTTACCCAAAACTGGAAGAAGAGCACTATGTTTCATTCTATTCATGTTCCATCCTCCTTTTTTTCTTTAGAATACTGTTTTTGTTTTTTTGTCCATGTAGTGGTTTGTGTGCAGCATGTCTTCTGCAGGTCACATGTTGCCAACATTTCTTTGCTGCTTCAGGCTGTGCTCTCGGTTATTTTATGATCAACAAACACTCCATTGTTCTCCACCAGAACACACTGGAAGAATACCCACTGATGTATTATACAGTACATTATGGAGAATACGCCCTTTTATAGGCTCCCATGAATCATCTATGGCTCACAGGGAGACGACTGTAGACACTTTCACTGTGAATAAGTAACAAGATGAAAAATAAAATGTGAGCAGAGTGGGAAGTAAACTATTGGATACTTTTAATTTTTATTTATTTCAAGGAGATTTTTTGCCGGGAGTTGAGATGAGAAGTTAGATGATACCACTATCATATCCGTCTGGTAAATATGACGCTACAGCTAGCAGCCAGTTAGCTTAGCTTAGCACAAAGACTGGAAACAGAGGGAAACAGCTAGCTTGACTCTGACCAAAGGCAACAAAATCCACCTACAAGTGCCTCTAAAGCTCAGTAACCGCGATTGTGTCTCATTTGTTTAATTTGTACAAAGGTAAAAACAACAGTTTGTTTTTTACATGTGGTCATGTGCCAGACTACTTCTTGGCTCTGAGCCGTTGCCAGGCAACCAGCTGACCTCCAGGAAGTTACACACAAATCTTTTTATTAATAATTTCTTTAATAACAACAAACAGTGTTCTAGGACAAATCAGCATCCACCAGAACACTTGTCATTACAAAACTGAAACCTTCATGACTTTAACAAAGTGCAGAAAAAAAACTACATCTTCCCCCCCAAAAATTACCAGCAGTGCAGGTACTTGTAACTGGGTCTCCTCCACATTAAAACTCAACAACACTCTCTTCTAAAGTCAGCAGTTAAGTTGTAATCCCTGTTGTCTAAATACCGTTCAGCCATCTCGTCACGTCTGACCTAACAGCGACCCCTCGACGCGCTCATGGACTCCCCTCGTTTGTGGAGTCGTGACATGTAGCCAGCTAACGTGTAAAATTTATGGGAAATGGTGTTTGTTAGAGCTGAAGAACAGAAAACTATATTGATTGTCTACATGAAGTGAGCCACATGACGTACAGTTGAGTCGGTCTCTTCCAAGGCTTCATTTCTTGTCATTAGTGTAGTTAAACATTTCGGTGGGATATTAAATGAGGTTTTTGTACTTCTGGAGGAGAAGCAGGGAGCTTTGGTTTCATTTTTGTTTTTGTACTGATTAAACAAAAAGAATATAACCTGTAAAACAGTGAGCCTCATGAGAGACAGAGCCAGACGAGCTGTTTCTCCCTGTTTACAGTAAGCTAAGCTAACCAGCTGCAGGCTGTAGCTTCATGTTTACTTTACAGATATGGGAGTGGGATCAATCTTCTCATCTAACTCTTCGCCAAAAGGTGAATAAGCCTATTTCCCAAAATGTTGACCTATTCCTTGAATAACATGTTTTGCCCTGAATTCTTGTTAGTTTCTGGCTCTTTTGTTTTCATCCACAGCCTGAACGGATCATTTAAACTGGCCTAATTTCACGTTCTAAGCAGTGGTGATTGCTTGGAAATGGTTTCATCCATCGTCAAACCTGAAGCAGACTTTTCTCTCTGTACCTTGCTGTATATATGCAAATGAAAAAAAACAAAAGAAAACATTTGCTTGTCCTCAGTTGCTCTGTAACAGACAGTGGAATGAGGTAGGAAAGAAAGTTGAAAAGCAAATTGAAGGTCACTTCCCTTAAAACAGAGCTTGCTTTAAAAAAACAGAGTCCTGATTAAAACGTCTCTGTCTCGAGGTCTGTGGAACAAAGATGTGAATTTCATTACTCGGTTTAAAATGCTCTCATTATTTCGGCTCTTTTCTTGCTATGATCAGTCGAGGTAATTACTGTCTGTTTTGGAGTCGAGAGTTCAGATTTTAAAGAACTTTTGATTGTCTGACTCCACTTTTTGAAACCTCTTTAGTTCACTATGTAGCAGTTTATTCACTCCCTCCTGACTGGCGCACTTGTTGCCATTTTCCCAAATGCCTCAAGTGCTTTCTTACGTTTAAAAATTCATTTGATTTTCTCTTTTCCTGTGTGCATGTCTAACTATTATTTTTGTGTTGTAAAGCACTTTCCTTTTTGATTTTGAGGTCAAGTGTCCTTGTGAAATGTGTAACTTTGGGTGTGTGTTGAGTTACATAGAATGTAATATAACACTGAGGTTGTTATAATGAAAGTTTTTTTTGCTAACACAGCTAACTCACTCGTTTTATCGGTGGTAAAATAACATCAAAATGCTGCATGAATTATTGCAGGTTATTGAAATGTACATTTTGTTAAAATAAGTAGTGGTTATATGTATTATTCTGTCATTTGCTGTCTACATATTAGCTAAAATTAGAAATATTGTGAATGTTCTTTATTTTTTACCGATGTGGATTCTGTCCTCTGTGTCTTTTATTCTCTGTGGGGATTAAAGAAAACCTTAAACCCTGTAATATGATTAAATTCCTTCCTAAACAAACCAGAGTAAGCAGCACCAGAATGTGAGAAACCTGGTGAAACATGTTCATGTTATATGAATGGAGCCCGAGCTGAGCTGTCATCTCAAATCCGGCGTCTCATGAGATTTTAGAAACATCAGTGAAGGAGCAGAGATGTGCTGAGTTCAGACAGTTCTCAGGAGTTTCGGTGAGCATGAGAGTTTTTTATGTAACCGCTGCATAAATGAACACCAGTTTGAAATAATAATGATAACATTCCTGGTTTTTATGCTTCAGTAATGAATAAAGTATCAAGATGGAAAATTAAAGGGGCACTGCAGCAATTTAGCAGTGCACTTTTATAGATTTGGGGAACTCACAAGAGACAGATTTAAGAAAGAATTGTCAAAAGTAAAGCTGAGATATCCAGACTTTTTATCTCTAGTAAGGATCAAACTCCATGCCACCAATCTGTACCTCAGGCTTATACTTATAAATTTGTATAGTCTAAACTTCGTTAAAAATTATCTACATATACAACTAAGTTACAAACTTAAAGTCCAGGGTGTAGGATTTCGTGTAGTTGTGTAGCAGTTCGCAACTCCATCGCTTCACTGTCCTCTTCCTAGCGTGAAGAAGAAACTACAGTGGCAGCAGTGTCCAGTGTCCCTTCTGGGCTACTGTAGAAACATGGCAGGTCATGGGAGGCGACCCACAATGTCTGTATATATAAAAGGCTCATTCTAATTTAACAAAAAAAAAAACAATTTCTATATTCAGGTGATTATACACTAATAAAAAACATATTTAGGAATATTATATTGCATTTCTGCCAATAAATCCTCCTAAAAGCTTCATACTGGTCTTTTAATGCCACATATTTATCAACATAATGAGGAAAAGTTTCTATTACTTATCTGCAAAATGTTCATACTGAATGTGTCTGTAAAACATTCACTGACAACTTATTTTTTTTCCCTATAATATCCGCTCATGGCCACTAAAGCAGCATCTACAATTTATAGTTATATTTAAGTAACTCAAAGGAGTTGGTTAAGATCGGGGAGAGATGCAGGTCTTGTTATACAAAAGTTCTACAAAAGGTTATGGAAGTTGACCGGAAAAATATTGTCAGTGAACATATGTAGTAATTACATTTCCTTTAAAATTTACATAAAACATTTATCAGTATGTAAATGTAATATTTAGGAGTCAGGGTTCTCCAAGCATACTTCACAAGACTTAGCTCCTCCAGAGCTGCAGACGACTAAAAACTGTTTTCAAAGGCTGAGAAGTACTCCTCATGATTAGTGAACTGACCTTAATGTGCAAAATCAGTGGAGTTTCCCTTTAAATATGGGTTGGCTGAGACGTTTTCAGTTTCAGGACTAACTGCAGAAGTGGGTGGACAGGCGTTTATTTAAATAGCCTATCATCTCACTCTCATTTAAAAACTACTAATTTCTAACTGTCATCCAGTTCCCAAGATGATGCTAAGTCTTCCCTTTTGTGGTATTTATTAAAATGTTCCACAGCACAGCAAAGTAAGCTTGGATAATGTTGTTATGTTCGTCCTTTACTCCTTTAATTTCATTTATTGACAGTTCAAACATGAACATGTGCTTTATTCAGCTCTCTGAATATCTTAGAAAAGATAGACCAAGGTGTTGGGCATTCATGTACTGAGATGACCACATCCACATCCAACTAAATAGCTCGAAGCACAAAGCCCATTCATTTCTCAGAAGTGCTTGATGACGTCACACAGTGAGCTCTCAGTCTGAGCAATGAGAGTAATGGACATGATGTAATTTGCACAAATTTACAACAAAAGAAAAACTAATGAGCTTTTGGGTAAATTGAAAAGAAGAAAAACTTCAGTCTACCTTACCTAGAAGAGAGAAACATTGCTCCATTTTCACTACAGTTACCTGACTGTGTCAGACCTCAATTAAATTCTAGCCTTACCACATATTTACTTGATTTTATTTTCCTGTGTTTTTTTGTTTTGCTGGCAACTGTCCTGTATCAGTGTTTTTCTCTTATGCGAACAGCTTAACTGAGCAAGGTCAACGTGAAAAATTGGAATATTTTCAATTCAGTGTTTGCAAATTTGTTCTTACAGAGTGTTTGACCTCTGGAACATATTTGCAGGAGGATGTGCTCTCCAGGGCCAGATGGTGCAACAATATGTAGCATTACCGTAGCTCAGGGACACTTTGTTGGTAATTATAGAATAGGAGGGAAGCTAAAAAAAAAAACAGATGAAGGAAAGTACTTTTTTATTTCTCTGCCCTCTCCTTCAAAATAATATGTCTTCTTATCAACAGAAACTCATCCTGACATATATTTGCTATTTAAATCACACATTAAGTGTGTCACTATTCCAACATCTCTTGGCCGGCTGGAAAAGTTTCAAAATCAGTTATACTCAAATAAATCAGAGAGCAGTAGTCCTACCAATGTTTGAGTGTTATTTATGTAGACTACTGTGCATTATTGCCCCGCAATGTAATAGAAAGAGAAGTCGAGGAGCTACTCACAGCTGCAAAATATTGCTGCAAAACTGTGAATGTTAGTGAGACAGATCTTGGAAAATCGACAAACAAAAAAGTGGCCAAAATCTTCAGAAAACACCCTAAATTTGCAGTTTTACTTATGTCAGTTGATGTGCATATTGCACCATTTTCTTTAAGGAGCTTACTGTACAAGATGGTAATGTAGGCTGCATTTCTTGTTTACTAACTGTACAATGACAATTAGTGGGCTGTGTTGTACTTGTTGTTTAGTATTTTTATGTTGTATGGACGTGAGACAGTGCAAGTTCAAATGTCTCACATGTCTAAATCCAACAGCAGCCACATTTCTTCTTCTTGTTGTTGTGAGCATAAGCAGGGTGCAAACTACAGGGGGGCCAGGGGAGCTCTTAATAAGTCATGAGCTGCTCTGAAAACAAAATTTGTAAAATATTGGGCGATCTCTAAAATACTGACAATATGCTTTTGCCATGCATTTCTTTCTGTATCTTCATCATCGTGAATCATATGTACTGTTAGGCTAATATTGATGTATGATTCATGCATGAGGGTGATCTAATTTACTTTAATAAAGATACCGGCACACATGCTATTCTTCCCGTCAACATTGATGCGTAGCGCAGCGCTATCATTAACTTCACTCCCTTTAACTCAAATTTTAGAAGAAAAAAGTAAATAAATTCTTAGTCCCACTCAGTATGCACACAGAATCGTTGCATTATTCGCTGCTGTGTTTGGTCAGAATAATATGAGTCAATCAGTCCTCACTTGAGGCACAATCACTTCCCCAGAAGTGAAGAAGCGGTATAGTTCACACACTGAGCATAAGCAAATCACTGAACCTCACATGCTATTGTAATAATTCAACATTTTGAGAAATACACACAATTTCATCTCTTTATTGTTGAGTTAGAGGAGAAAACCGGTACCACTCTACACTAAATTTAAAGATGAAGAGGTAAAAAACACTTATTAACATATTCTATACACAAACAGAAGAAAACAACCGTTTGAGGAGAGAGTTATAGTTGCTGTAACCATTCCTTGACAAATAGCAGCAAAAGAAATAGCACATAGCTCCCTCTACAACCACAAATTTTAATTCTTACATTTTTGTTTGTGTTCATTAGGTGTTGGTAGGTTCATAGCTTGCGCCACACTTAGCACAAAGACGTGGTATCATTCCTAACATTTAATATACAGCAAGAAGCAAATAAGCAGAAAATACATGTTGAAACAAAATCTGATGCAACTATTACATTTCATTATCGGGAGGTTGTTAAATGGTTTAAAGAAATGAGCAACAATTTCTGCTTCAAAGCAAAAACCTCCATGTAAGTGTAAGTTTGGTATGCTGATTCGTCTCCTGTGTTCATGTTTCAGGCTTGTAGTTGGCTGTAGTTTTACTGTGGTCTGTGTAAAGTTGTATCATTCAGATCATTTTTCTAGCCCACAGGTGAAGCCCAATGATATCTGCACTAATCCATTTTGTCACACGACTTTTGTACCCTGCGTTTAAACGTTTTTAATAAATGATTGAACCTAATTACACCTGTTTCTGACATTTTTATCCAGTCCAAGTCATCTCCTCTCTTAAATGAGAACTCCTCTTATGTCTCCTACATGTCTTACTGATCTGTTGCACTAATGACCATTCTTTTGTCTGTTGACAGATGCAGCCAATTAGTCAGGTGTGTGTGGTATACATCAAGTCCAAACACATCATATTACCTTCCCCCTAACAATGATTTCCAGCTGTGTACAAGGCGCAAACAGTGTGTTTGTGTTTGTTTGTGTGCACCTTTGAATGTTTGCATCCCTGTTTTCACTCATTTGCATGTTTCATGAGGACTGTGGACGAAATGAGTGCTGACATCATGCTTTTTGGACTCTGTCCTGTCCACTTGGCCCAGCACTTGTCTGTCCTGCCAGATCCTGTTAATTGGTGTATTTCAATTTTTTTTTACCAGTCCAGAAATTGTGTCCGCTCCCAGTTTGTAGCAGAAATAAATGAGAGAGAATCCATGTGGGAGTGAGCAGCCAGTCCTAGTTTATTCCTCGTCTGCTAACTTTTTAAACGACCTATAACATTGTAAAGTCCATGAATGACGGAGGAGTGTATTCTGTTTTAATTAATTCCATGCAGGTTTCTTAAAGGGTCTTTAACAATACATCCCTGTAGTCGCTCCGGTGCCTCATTAATGACTTGCATGGAGCAGACATCACTTTGATCGCCACGTTTTTACACCCACCTCCCTAAAGAAATATGAGTGCTACACTAATTGCCTCATGTTTATATTGATTACATCCCCCCTCCTCCAGTAGTCCTCCCATCTTCACTTTCTGTGAGCATATCTAGCCTGTCAGGAATCAGGAGCGGTCGAAGGATAAAGTGTATGGGCTGGCGCTAAATGTCAACAATTTTCAGATTATCTTAGGCAACAGAAAACATTCAACTGTGACTAATTGCAGTTG